CCCAGCATGCCGTCCGAGCACGGCGTAGAGTAACCAGGCTGCGTTCAGCACACTGAAAGGGGCCGTTTGGCAGCTTGCATAGTTTCGCACAATGGAATCATTCGATCATGTAAGAGGAATGGTGATGAAGGGCTTGCGCCGCGAGTGACATGTGACTGGTTCGTGAATCTTTGACTACCATGGTGGATCGTACAAAGGGTTTACACGGGGGAATTTGCGTGGTAGTCTCTAGTGACGAGGTTGTCTGTCTCCTGGTTTCTCCTAGTCAGGCCATGCATCTTTCTATTGTGCCGGCTAAGATAGATATCCTTGACAACATGCATCAAATCATGAAGGCTTTCCACGCCATTTGTACCTGACGCACACGAGTGTTAGGAAGCCGGGTTTTCTAGTCTTGATTACCATCAAAATCTCATCATCATTGTCTTTTGAAACTGTCTGTGAATGGGCAGACGCTTCACAAAAAAATCGACGACAGTGAAGATCTAGTCGTAGCGAAATGAACATCATCCTGCATCTTTCTTCATGCAATCGAGAGTATCACTTAGAAGCTTACCTGTTGTTCACCATCGGCCACGTCTTGCTGTCTTTATGACTTGTGTGTAGTAGGAATGACTGCGATCGGCCCGCGGAGCTCATTACTGTTGCTTTTCCCAGTCGTTTACTCAACAGCGCATTTCTGGGTTGTCGCCGCGGCGACACATATGTGATCACGAACAGGTGCATCGCTTTTCCTTTCCACGACGACCGCGAAGCAAGAGGTCTAGGGTCTTCTATGTAATTCCGGCCGCTGCCTTGGCTTCATTCCCAACCACTGCTGTCCTTTTCTTCAACGCTGCGTCCTCTTCCTGCTGATTTTTCCTGGCTGCTGCTCCGGTTCCTGGCACGCCTCTCTGTTCTTACAGCTGACTTGGAGCTCTCGGTTGATGCAGGAATCTCCGAAATTCACAGCCTCGGCCGTGATACACAGCAGTATATTTGTTAAAGGAAAGCCTTCCTTAACCAAGAGACAGAGACAAGAACAAGTACCATCGGAGCACACTGATCCAGACAACAGAGTCAAGCATTGCAAGCAAGAGTACCAAGCACAACAAAAAACGGAGAGCAGGTAAAAAAGCACGTCCAACACAGCATGAGTCGTCTGGAGGACCTCGACGAGGAGGTCCTGGCCATTGTGCTCAGGTCTGGACTCATCAATCTCAACAACCCCGGCACGCAATACGAAGTCTCTCAAGCCATCGACACGGCTCTCGGGATCGCTAGCGATGAGCAGATCAACATTGCCATAATGAGGAGCGTGCAGAATCAGGTGCGCGCCTCTGCTTCGACTTCTGCCACCACGACTGAGCCTCCTGCCGCGGAAAGGGACACGGAACAGCCCACCTGGATCGCTGAAGCGGAGAGGAAGAGAATACTGGCCCATCTCCAGGCCGTGGCCGACTCCGGTGACGAAGCTGACGAAAGGAAAGGACGTGATACGGGCGACGTGTGCTCCATCTGCCTTGAGGCCACGGACCCTGACAGACAGATCAAGTTGCCGTGCGGTCACGTCTGGTGCAAGAAGTGTCTCTGCCGACAGCTCGTCAGCGGTCTGGGTCCCGGTGCCGTCTGGCCGCCCAAATGCTGCGACCCGCTCGACGAGTCGACGATCGCCTGGCTGGACTTGCCCGACGTGCTGCGCCTCTGGCTGCAGGCCCGACAGCAGAACGAGACACCCGTCGGCGAGCAGATTCATTGTGCCCGCCCGGCTTGTGGCGAGTTCATCCCGGCGAGGCCCGGTGAGCAAACAGATGCCACCTGCCTGGTCTGTGGCGACAACACATGCCGTGCCTGCCGCCGAGCCTCACATCCAGGACGGCCCTGCACTGAAGAGGCGGAGGATGAGATGCTCAAGGATCTCATGGATGAGAAGGGGTGGTCGAGCTGCCCCCGGTGTAGTCGGATCATCGAGCTGACTGCCGGCTGCAACCACGTAACGTAAGTTCACCCTGGTTGCCTTTTATCCCCTGGTGTCATCATGAAGTTTATATCCCGGGGGGGGGGGGGGCTTTTCTGTTGATTCAATGATGAAATGGAGACTGATTGTATCATTGCAGATGCCGCTGCGGCGCCGAGTTCTGCTTCCTTTGCGGAGAGCCGTTCCGTTTCACGCACCAGTGTCCACGATACGGCAACGGCCGGGGACAGCGCGTGCCGGTACGCGAGCGCCGTAGTCAATATCACCAGAGACAGGAAAACGAGGACAACAGAGCGAGCGAAGCCCGACAAGAAACACAAGAGCCGGACCGCGGAGGCCGTCGTTTCGATGATATTCCATGGAACTTTGGGCCCTTCCAGGCGTACGCAGTCGACGAGACGGAGCTGAGATCCGCGTGGAGGCCTGAGGAGGCTCGTCGACGCATGCAAATGATCAATCAAATGTTGATGGAAGACGATTTCGAGAACAGCTCAACGCCAAACCGGCCCTGGCCTGGTAGCTTCGTTCGACGCATGCAAATGATCAATCAAAGATTGACGGAAGATGATTTTGAGAACAGCTCAACGCCAAGCCGGCCATGGCCTGCTAGCTTCGTCCCACAACCTGGCCTTGGCAGCCGGAGGCCGTCATCTCGTTCCATGCAGCCGAGTACCACTGTGGTAGATCCTTTCGGCAACTCGTGGGCCCAGAACACTCCCTTTGCTCCATTGACTCAACATACAACTGCCGATCAAGACGAGGAAGTCGGAGGACGCCGGGGCAGAGGCCGGAGGCCGTCCCCCTCCCGGCGCCCCTGGATAGGAATACCCCGGCCAGAACTTTTCCCCCCGCTACCTCGCCCGGCACGTGCGGCTCTCTCGAGGCAGACGGCCCGGGCCTCGACCGGCGCAGCACCTGAAGGTCTCGAACAAGGTAATTCACAAAGCCAGCAACAAGGCAGATCCCCTTCGGCTTCACGTTCCCCACGCTCTACACACCGCACGTATGGACAGCCACCGCATGGCAGGGAATTTGAGGACCCCGCTGATCGCTAGGTCTTATTCTTCTGCTGCTGCATTGACGGAAGAGCAGGGACGGACCGCGAGGATGACAACGTTTGAGTTACCACAATTATAGCGGGTTATTTGTCAGATCACTGTATGGAAGCGGCGATACACTTGAAAGGGAAGGGTTTAAAACTACTGATTCTTAACTTCTTCGGGTATCCTTCCTGTCGTGAATTGATATTGTAGTTTTGATTCTGAAAATGGGCCCGCTTGGATCCGCCTGTGAAGAAGACCGCAAGAAGACCCTGATGCCTCCTTTCAACAGGTCCCTCTCCTATGCGTCCGGGACGTAGACAACATCCTTGCACAGTACGACCACCTTTTTGAAGAAGCGACGCCACTCGAGAGGGTCGCCCTTGATTTTGACGAACCGCACGTCCAGAAGTTCCTGATCGTCAGGCAGCTGGTGACGGTGGACCTGAATCTCGCCGTGAAGGCTCTGCTTGCGACCGTCTAGGGTACGGACGCGGACGGTGGCGACGTGTTCTGCGTACAAGCTTGGCGTCACGGGAGGTGAGGGAACGCCAAGCTGATGGAGGGCATCGCCGAGCACTTGCACGAGGAGCTGCGGCGACATGTGGGAGAAGAAGCGCGTCAGAGACTCGGCTGGTACAATGTCGCGGAACTGGCGCGCAGCCTGGGTCAGGGTCAAGGGGATGCCAGGGTTTTGTGAGAATTGGCTCATCGTGGGCTCATCGACGAGATGGTCTAACACCTGGCTACGACCGTTTGACTTGGGGAAGGTGCTGGTGTCACTACGCAACGCTGGCTGTGTCGAAGAGATGGCCATGGAGCCAACGGAACGCAGGGCAGGGCGTTCATAGTCCCAGTCTATGTCGGTAATGTGTGTTTCAGGTTGGGTAGACGAAAGCTTGTCCGGTACGCCTGAGCCGTCAATGTCCATGGAGTCGCCCGCGGTTGATGAGAGTAGTTGGGAGGGCCGCTGGCTGAAATCGATGCGTAGGTTCTGCAGCATTTGAGTGGCCAAAGTGAGCGGGTCAGCGACCTTGCCGTCCCCGGTCATCAACGTGTTGTTTCTCGTATACCAAGGGTGCTGGCGTATTTTGCTGAAGGAAAATCGGCTTGCGGGGTCGACGCTCATCATGCCGCGGAGGAGTGAAAGCACCTCAGCAGGGAGTCGATCCCAAAGGGCATCTGTGCTGCGACCCTTGGTTCGGAGGTACTCTTGATACTCCCAGCTGCCCTTAGATGGCTCATCCCATGGAGTGTTGCCCACCAACAAAACGAAGAGGATCACACCGCACGACCAAATGTCTACGAGATCTGGCGAGTATTTGGCTGTTGCTTTTCCGTTCTTATCGGAGCGGCCACAGGCAAGAATCTCCGGAGCGATGTAAGGAGGGCTTCCGCACAGGGCCGAGCTGGTCTTGCGTTGCCCCTTGTACTCAAACATGGTCGCCATGCCAAAGTCTGCGAGCTTGAGATTTCCCGTTTCAGAGAGGAGGATGTTCTCTGGCTTCAGGTCTCGGTGGGCGACGCCTTTGGAGTGCATAAAGCTCACGCCGCTGACGAGCTGGAGGAAGTAGATGTGTGCAATGTCCTCAGAGACACCAACATCGGCCTCAATCTTGTCGAACAAGTCTCCGCCCTCGGCGAATTCCATGGCGATCCATCGCCAGATGTGGTCTTCTCCTGTGGCGAACCACTCTATGATGTTGGCGTGCTGGCCAACATGAGAGTGAAGGGAGACCTCCATCAGCATCTGCTTGGCAGAGACGCGGCCTTGGCGGACAGCATAGTCCTTGTGGATGAGCTTGACAGCAAAGATTGGCGATGTTGTATCGAGGGGTATGGCCTTTTTGATGCTATTCAACGTTAGATCTCTGTTGCGTTCACGGGGAGCCAGAAGGCGGAGACAAGACGCACGATGCATAGGCTCCCCGTCCAATAGTTTTGGACACGATCCTGAAGGGCAGGTTATTGGGGAGAGGGTCTAATTGGGACTGAGCCATTGTGAATTAGTCGATTGCCAGCCCCGTCACCTCGAGATGGTTATGTGTGATGGTTCTAGGTACACGACATTTCGATCAAGCAAGTGGGATGGTGTTGAGACGGTGAGTGCACTGATGACTGCCTTCAGGTACCCAGGTACCTAGGCAAGTAACTTGCGCACCATCAACGGGGACCAAAAGTGGAGGCCAGGGATGCCTGATAGGCTGTTGTGAACAGTCTATATCCCGTCGCTGCCTGGGCTGCATGTCTGGCTGGCGATATGATTCAGGAGAGAGGAAGGTGCGTGCAAGTAAACAACAAGAAAAAAAAAAAGCCCCTCACCATGCTGGCGGCATTCAAAGTGGTACACAGAACCGCGTCCTGAACGCGTAAAGAGGTTGCACGAGTGGTGTTTGGGCATTCGTACACCAATTCGAAACAACCCCGCCTCACGCGTCTTAGCGTATCTATTGGCTGGCAGAGCCCCCAATCGCGGTTGCCCCGGGCGGGTGACTGCTGGTTGCAGTAAACACCGCCTCGCCAAGCCCACCGAGCCTCAGCACCTCAGCAGCTCCCTTTCTGACCTGATTCAACCAGCACTGACTGACCGAATTACAATACGCTCAGTAGCATCTCTGACTTCCATTTTCTGCTTCCACATTCTTCCTACACAAACACCCGCCATTCAGAGACTTCTACATTCGCCTACAACGCCCATTGCCCCTCTTCCCCAGGCACAAAACTGGACTTATCCTCCTGTCTTTGTCCCCCCCCTGTCGTCGAAACACCATTACCGGCTGTTGCATCCAGGGCCACACTATCCATACCCACCAACTCTTTCACACCACCGCAGCCATGGACTTTGCAGCAGAAGACAGCCAGAACGCCGCTCCTGGTAGCATCCAGCAGGCCAAGCTCAGCACAGCCCGCAAAGGCCCCGATGCGGGAAGCGTTACCAAGAGGTACGTAGCTTCGCGAAAGGGCGGCAGGACCACCAACGCCCCGACGCTCCTTGGTCCTAGGCTTTACGCTTGTCGGTGCTGGATCTCGTGCTAACCTGATTACCTCTGTCACAGGTTGCAGACGGAGCTGATGCAGCTTATGACCTCGCCCGCGCCTGGCGTGTCCGCTTTCCCGTCAGCCGACGGCAACCTCATGAGCTGGACAGCTACCATTGAGGGACCAGATGACACCCCCTACGCTGGCCTCACCCTCAAGCTGAGCCTCGCCTTTCCCAACAACTATCCTTACGCTGCGCCTACTGTCCTCTTCAAGACCCCCATCTACCACCCCAACTTTGACTTCTCCGGTCGAATCTGCCTCGACATTCTCAAGGACAAGTGGACCGCTGCATACAACATCCAGACCGTCCTCCTCAGCTTGCAAAGCTTGCTGGGTGAGCCCAATAAGTAAGCCTCACCATGCTGCGAGACTTGGATGAACATGCACTGACACCACGAAGCTCTTCACCTCTCAACGGCGAGGCAGCCGAACTGTGGGACAAGGACATGGAGGAGTTCAAGCGCAAGGTCCTAGCCCGTCACCGTGACGTCGAGGACGAATAGGTGTTGTTTTGTTTTTGAAACGAGAGGGAAGGCATTATACCCGAGCACAGCAAGGTGGGAGTCTTCTTTGTATCGCATGAATGAAATAATGGCTTGTTTGGAACTGCGTTGCAGTTTCAAATTCTTGAACTGGCATAGCACTGCATGTGACATGGGTATGGGCGAGGAGGGGCATGGAGGAATGGCGAAGCAACGAATCTGTTCGCTCAAGGGCAGACGTATAGTCGGTAGCAAAGCTACTGAGCAACTTGTAACACCATCGATCAAATGACCGACCGACCAACACCCCTACCATCGCTGCCCAAATCCATCCGTTCCACATCGTCTAGAATTTCGACCCCGCATGTCATTTCACTTTTAACCCCGGGTTCATCATATCGGTCGTCGAACCTATCCAGGGCCAGTCATCGGATTGGCTGGTTGTGGACGGTGGAAGAAGGATTTTCGTTCGGATTCGTCGGGGAATCAAGCCTCTCTCGCATTTCCTCTGAAGTAATCGTGGTGGTGGGAAAAGCTAAAGACCCATACAACTCCTTAATGCCGATGCCGCCCTTGTTTGAACCATTGCCATAGAGAGGAAAATTTTACTCCTCGACGACAACCGTCGGGAGACCCTTGGGGTTCTTGACGTTGACGGCCTGCACGTAGCTGTAAAGCTTCTCCTTGGCGCCGTCCTCGTCGTTTCGCCTGCGCGAGATGCGGACGCGGAGCCTGTAAGGAACGCCCTTAATACCCTGCTCCCAGACCTTCTTGTTCAGTTGGGGGTCGAGGCGGACATCGGTGGTGCCCTGCGTGACATGTTAGTTTTTCGGCGGGCCAAATAGTCGAGTTGGTTCCTTGTCGTCCACTTCTGCCTCCAACCCTTTCTGTCTCTTTGTCTGTCGGGCCGGAGGCAGTCGTAGGCGCGGAATAGTTGGCACGTACCATGGACTTGGTGGCGAAGAGCTTGATCTGCTTGATGGCCTGGGGAGCACGCTTCTTGAAGGTCTCGCCGTGGAGCTGTTGAAAACAAAATGTCAGCGTTGGGTTCCAACTGTGCACTGAAATAATCTCCTCTTCCTAGACCTGCTCAAGCCATCGTCGGCGGTCCCGTCTTGGAGTTGTGCGGTTTGGTTGCGGTGGTGTCTACTAACGCGCTTGTGCATGTGGATGGTGTACTCGCGAGCGACAACGTCCGCGATGGCGGAGCGCTGCTTGCCGCCGGTCTTCTTCTGCTTGGTCGACATCTTGGACGATTCCTCGTGGTTGTCGCTGGTTCAGGGCTTGTCGAGGAAGTTGGGCGTTGGGCTGGCGAAGGTCCAGGTCTGGAGTCTGAATTCTGGCAAAGTGGAAAACCGAACAAAATCCTGTGTGCAGGCGCAAAAAAGCCCTAGCGAGCCAATCAAATTGGCCACTTGCGGGCCGGACTGTGGTGGGTGGTTGCACGTGACTCGGCGCATCAACAGACAAAGCATGCCCCCACTCTGCTCAGATGAGCGATGCCGACAAGGGGCATGACAGGGCCCAGTACGTACCGACCCTGGGTCCCACCCCCCAACCGCAGCCGCCGGACGCAGCAATCCATCTCGTCTCAGTCTGCCTGGCGTCAACGACCTGGCGAGTGATCTGCTGTTGTTGCCGTTTCCATGGCCCGCATCGTCACATTCCTGCGACTGCCGTCAACCACAACCTCAACGAAGACGCCCTCTTTTTGCGCTGAGCGCATTCGCAACACTTCCGCTCTTTCGAAACGATCACAATAGTCGACGGACCAGGAGCAATTGGCCGATACGAGTTCGCGTCGCACAGGGGGTTTGGTTCGCCAGGAAACAACCGTTTCTGCCCATCGCGATCTCATCAATCGCACAGAGCATTCTCTTCACCACTATCACCTCTACCACGCCTGCCGAACCGATCTTCGACTTTCGCTCTTCAGCATACGTGAAGCACACACGCTTGAACGACCATCGCCGCAGCTTGAGCATCCCCAATCATCATGGAAGACACACATCCCGACCCGGCAATGGCGACGCCATCACCACAGCCCGACTACGGCCGGAATAGGCTTCCGACTCTCTTCGAGGTGCTCAGCCGTCGTACTCTGCCGCCCGTCGACCTCTTTTCCTTCTACATCTACATGCGTGATCAACAACGATCCGTTGATTACCTTGACTTCTGGTTCGTCGGGACCTACGATTGCCTTCCTGGGATGAAATACTGACCCAGTTGCAGGCTTGATGTCGCTCAGCACATGTCACTATGTCGCCATTATGTCCGTGAACTCCGCCGTTCTGTTCTAGTTGGCACGCCGGAGTTGGAGAAAGCCGGTTCCAAGCGTTCCTCGGCCATCCTCGAAAGTATGGGCGACATGACCAACATAGGTATTGGAGCCGGCCCATCCATGTACGCAACGGAAAAGGAGAAGGACCAGGACGCCCAAATGTCTGCCTACCTCCGTGAAGACCAGATCCAGGACTCGCCACAAAGCAGCAATGATCGCCGCAACAACAGCCGGCCCAGTCCAGCATTCAGCACTCCTCGCGACGTCACGTCCGACTCCAACTCGCCTGGCCACACAGTTGCCCGCCAGGATATTCGTGCCTCAGCGGAGAAGATCCTTTACACCTTCCTCCTTCCCGGTGCGGAGCGCGAAATCACTCTACCTGGCAGCATCACCCAAGATGTCACGTCAGCCATCGAAGAGTTTGGGAGGGATGACCCAGAGGTGTTTGACGTAGCTAAGGACTATGTCTTCCAGGCTATGGAGCGGGATGCCTTCCCTGGTTTCCTACGCATGAAGGCGCTTGGAAATCTTATTCCGCCAACACTGGTTATGCGTCTCATTTTTGGTCTCGTAGCAATGTTCGGTGCCTTCTGGACGGCCTTCGTCCTCATCTTCCTTGACAGGAGCCGACTTACCAGATGCTGGGTAAGCAATGAGCGTACCAACTGCTGTGACAACTTTTGCTAACCTCTGCAAGCTGATCCTGCCATTTACCTTGGGTGTTTACTTCCTCGCATCATACCAGTACTCTCTCGATCCCGTCCTCGCTCTCATTGGCTTGAGCGAGTACACGCCTTTCAACTTCTCCCGCGTTCGTGAACCATACGTCCGCACGCTACTCGCCAAACGAGCCATTATGGTTCTTGCCGTCACTATTCTGATCGATGCTGCCCTCTGCGTACTCTTCATCCTGGTTCCAGGCAAGAGATTGTAGATCCAGGAGTAAGCCAGAGCCTGTATCAGCAGAAGCCTGGGGCGCGGCTGGCAGGCCGGGGACTTGACGAACGTAATGATATTCCAAGGCGTAAAGGATTCGAGCGGGGCTTACGGATTTGCTTTTACTTCTTACTCTTCTTCATCGAGGATAACACACTTCGCACTTTGCTTTCCAGTCTCTCCCTTTAGGATACCACGTGGTCGATAAGGATGGGTGGCATGCAGATGGTAATTGTATGGATTAGGCTGGCTGGCACTGATCCAGTTTGGCACCATCGACCCATTGGTCGAGCGATTCACATCGTCTTTCTTCTGTACTTGGACCATTTGAGATGTTACAGGCATGTATCATCACCAACAACTTTCTGTCTTGTGTGTAACTGCCTTTTTTGTAAAAGGAAGTGCACGACGGCCCTTGATCCTATTTGTATATGAGAGCAACGAAGCCTGCGAGCCAGGCCCTTAGTCCCTGGAGAATCGGACACTTTCAAAACAAGAGAGCAAAAATCATAAATTCCGTGTCTCATTACCGTGTCGTGCCCGCTATTGCTGTTGGACCCTCGTGATAGGATGCCGTCTGCCTTGGTGAAAGCATGCATGAAAACGCCTCTTTGCCGCCTGGTCGGCACAGTTTGCCTAGTCGGCACAATTTGTCTCTCCCATTCGCACCCCGCAACACCGGTGATGATCCCACGTCGCGCTAGAACCCCTACAGCTTGCGACGACTGGCCCGCTTCTGCTCCTCCTCCTCGAGGTCGAGGTCCATGGCCTCCTCGTCCTCCTGATCGGCCGTCTCCATCAGATTGCTCCCACGCTTGCTGAGCACCCTGGCGCGCTCCCGCATGCTGTGGCCGGCGCGGCGCGCAGCGTCAGTAGCGCCGCTCAGGAAGCCGCCACTGGCCCCGCCGGCCGAGTGCTTCGTCTCGGCGACGAGCTCGGCGAGCCGCTCCTCGCGAGCGCTAGCGTGGCGCTGTCTGCGGGCGGCCTCGGCGCGGATGGCGGCGGTCTCGGCGTCAATGTCGTGGAGGGTGGCGGCGCAGCGATCGGACCAGGGGAGCAGGGCGTCCGAGAGGGCAGGGATGGAGTCGGGCGCGAGGTCGCGCAGAGGGTCCAGGGCGGTGACGTGGGCGTGCTGGCGGGCGGGATCGAGGGTGGCCTGGATGAGGCCGGCGTAGATGGCCGAGGTCACGAGGGCCTCGAGGGCGCGGGTGTCGGGGCAGAGACAAAGCGGATTGGAGACGGGGGTAGGCGAGATTGGTGCGGTCGCGGGCCAGGGTGAGGAGGGAGAGCTGGCGGAGCTTGAGGGCCTGGCTCTCACTCAGGTCGGGCAGCGACTGGGAGGACTGCTGCTGCTGCCTCTGGTAGTCGGCGTAGGTGCCATAGGAGAAGATGCGGAGTAATGTGAGGTATGCGGCGTGTTCGGCAGACTGGGCGAGGCTCTGGATCTGTGGCGTCTGAAGCAGCTCTGTGAAGAGAAATGTATTCGGATTGGAGGTCGCACGGGTGACAAGATCTGCGGCAGCACGAGGGGAGCTCGCTGACTTGCTGAGGGCCAGGAAAGGCTATGCAAGGTTAGCGAGGTGCCTCGAGGAGATGGGCGTGTGGAATGGCGATTACCTCCAACGCATTCAGAGCTTTTGTCTGCTCCATGGCTGAAATAGGCTGTCGAGGGAGGTAGGTCTCGGGGGGTCAGAACGTATATTGGTAGCCTCGCCGAAGGGCTGACGAGGCTGACAGCTCTGAAGCAGCGCCTGGACACGAGCCTCAAGGAGCCAGAGCAAGTAGCTGTCGCTTCTGTGCCAAGGTTGATCGTCTAGCCGGCGTGACAGGGAATGTGTCGATTGACGGAAGATCGTAGCCGGGAGCTGCTCAGAAGTTTGTGGAGTCGTTTGTTTCCGCGAGTCTGAGCCTGGAGGGTTCCTGGTATCAGATCTGTTTGAGCATGGGACCGTGATGTTGAGGCGGCAAGAGGTCCGTGGTTGTTTGGACAAAGGCTAGTTAGTGAGCACAGTGATCCGCGCGGGGCAGTCGAACTGCAAGTGGATCTATCTAGCATTCACTGGAGGCTAAGATGCTGGAGCTTGTCGTTAATCGATAAGGAGCTCATCAGTGTCATTCATTACCTCAGCATTTCGTGCGTCTCTTGCATCTGCGCCAGCCCGACTTTTGCCAGCATCAATATCTGGCCATCATCGTACGATACTCAAAGCATGCCAACCGGCTGCCACGCAATTTGGTTACCAGCTTCTATATCCAGAAGATGTGATATCGAAGACAGATCGCCAGACGGCCAGAGACAGCGATGACTGCAATTCTCCCGACTATTCCTCAATGCGTTGATTGATTTGCCGATGAAGAAAGAAAAAGTCCCTTTTAATTGCTGTCTCGGAATAGCGATGACGTGTAACAATCAAACTTGAGCAGTTTTCACTCCTGGAGATGGAAGTGCTCACTTCTGATTGCGATCGTAGCATTTGTATAAACTATTTGTATGGCGTGCTTGCGCTCTCGATGCCCTCATCATGCCTTCTACGGTAGTACGGCATTGCATCTCGTACCCTGTCAGCCCTGGAACGGTAAACGAAACAGGCGGGACGCAGACGTATGGGGGTGGCAACGGGTTGAGAGGTTAGCGGGTGATTCGGCTTCAAACTTAGCCTGATCTATTGAACTCAGCAGCTGGTAGCGCAACTCAGCTGTTGCTTCAGACGAGAAGCTGAGACAGCCTTGGACACTCGATACTTCTGCCGCGTGTTGGCACCTGAGGCTGCGCCATCCAACCTGAGCTTCCTTTGAACAATGTGGTCTGGGCGCTTGCTTTCTTGTTAGAATTCGGAGCCGTGCCTGCCGGTGCTGACCTGGACGGGACCATCGGGACGAGAAGGAGGGTCAGCAGACGGACAGCGTAACGCTGTGTCACTCGATTTTGAGCACGGGAGCCAACGAAGGGAAGGCTCCGTGTAAACGGTTCACGAGCACGAGGGCGTCGGTCGAGCAAAATCAAAAGCAAGGCATTCTAACATCTATCGGCAATCTATCGCGGAGTCAAGGCATGCGATGCTCGTTTCTAGAGGACGAGCCAACGCAGCCAATACAGCGCATAGAAGGGACAGACAACGCACCCACCCCACGCACGGCACGCCTTTACGCCTTTACGCCGTGGGAGAAGATGCTGAGTGGAGCCTCCTCCCCCCAAGCAGCTCGGACATTGCTAGGACCAAGGTGCGCCACCAGGAATCGCAGTGCGTCTGATTGGAACAAGTCTCGATTGGCCCAAGTCCTTTCAGGAAGCTGGTCAGAAGTATCGCCGTATCCCCCGGCATGTCGCAGGTTGCAGGCGCTGATCCTGGCCGCCGAGGACCCAAGACAAGCGCCCCCCCCCTCCCCCCACACCCCTAGATTCATCGAGCACAGGTACCTTACCCTGGTAGCTATCCCACCACCGCCTACCAGCACGCGCTATCGTCTTTTTACAGTGGGTGATGACACGCCGCTCAGGGCCCCTCGTGCCCATCTTCGGGGGCTACCACCGTAGGTACTCTAGCAGTCTAGGTACTTATTCACAGAAGAGGGGACGATAGTCTGGGACCCCTGCCCCTTGGCACGATGATGGAAAGGGCCGGTGGATGTCGATGCTGCACGTCTCGGTGCGCCGTTTCGCTGACAAAAACCCACCACCCGCCGACCTTCCGTATTCTGTCATCCTTCTTCCCGCCTGCTGGTTCGTGGTGTTGCATTTGTCGCCTCTGTCCTCTCCTCTTGCAGTGGCTTGGCTTCCAATCGGTCACCCTCAGTATATTTCTAAATACCCCCAACCTATTCTCCGTTCGCCTCCCCCCTTCTCCTTCTGGAAGCCGGTCTTCTGGGTCTCGAGAACTATCGTCCCTTTTCTGCCAGTCAGTGCTTGTTGCTGTTGCGCTTTGCTTACGAAATTGTCGTCGCTGCCGCCATCTCGTCGTCTCAGCCTCCTCGACTCGAGGACGACGATTGACATTGGCGCCAAGCCGAGCTACGCCGAGTCCATCTATCCCACGACCGAAATCAATAGTAATGAGTCTGCACGCAACAGTGTAGCATAGCACAGCAATACACCCACGCAGTCGCGGCCATCTGAGATCCCCCGCCCAAGGCCCTCCACCCATTCTCTTCGAGACCCTTCTCCAGAAGCGACCTCGACTCCCGAACGGCGGCACCCTATCCCGCCAACAACACTCCAAACGCGTCCAAACATGGCGCCCGCCTACATCAAGGTCCCACCGAGGGAAGAGGAGAGTGGCAGACGATCAACGTCGTCCGGCCTCATCGTACCCAACACGGCGCATATGGCGACAACAACTCTCCAGGTTGGGGGCATGACGTGAGTCCCTTGATATACGCTCTCTCTCGGTTAGTCGCAATATACTTACGCGCAGTCAGATGCGGTGCCTGCACCTCGGCCGTCGAATCCGGCTTCAAGGGCGTCGAAGGCGTTGGAAATGTCTCCGTGAGCCTCGTCATGGAGCGCGCTGTTGTCCTCCACGATCCCCAGCACATCTCGGCCGAACAAATACAACAGATTATTGAGGACAGAGGGTTTGACGCCGAAGTGCTGGCGACGGACCTGCCCTCACCCATTCTCAACCGCCACGCTGTGGACGAGGCGGCCTTTGACGATGACGACGATGAAGATTTGATGTCTACAACCATAGCCATCGAAGGCATGACTTGTGGAGCTTGCACATCAGCCGTCGAGGGAGGCTTTAAGGATCTTCCTGGGCTCAAATCTTTCAGCATATCACTTCTTTCTGAACGCGCTGTTATCGAGCACGACCCTACTCTTTTAACCGCCGAGCAGATCGCCGAGATCATCGAGGACAGAGGCTTCGGTGCCGAGATCCTCGAAAGCAACAAGATACAGCCAGAAAGGAAGTCGAAATCCGGTGCTGGCTCTACGAGTACCATCGCCACAACGACGATCGCAATAGAGGGCATGACCTGCGGAGCGTGCACGTCCGCAGTCGAGGGTGGCTTCACAGACGTCGACGGTGTCCTCAAGTTCAACATCAGCTTGTTGGCTGAACGTGCCGTCATTACTCACGATACATCCAAGCTTTCCGCAGATAAGATTGCTGAGATAATCGAGGATCGTGGTTTCGGCGCTGAGGTTCTCTCTTCTCAGTCTGATATCTCAGACCACTCCGGCGCCAACTCGACCGTCCAGTTCAAGGTTTATGGCAATCTTGACGCCACCTCTGCTCTTGCCCTCGAAGCGAAGCTTGAATCTCTCTCCGGTGTCAAATCAGCTACTCTCAAGCTGGCTTCTTCGCGACTCACCGTTGTCCATGTACCCGCTCTGATTGGACTACGAGCCATCGTCGAGGCAGTTGAATCTGAAGGCTTGAATGCGCTCATGGCAGACAGCGACGACAACAATGCACAACTTGAATCGCTCGCCAAGACGCGAGAAATCAATGAGTGGCGAAGAGCGTTCAGACTGTCGCTCTCATTCGCGATACCTGTCTTGCTCATCAGCATGATCATCCCAATGTGCTTACCATCTCTCGACTTTGGCGGCTTGGAAATCCTGCCTGGTCTTTTCCTCGGCGACTGTGTCTGCATGGCCCTCACGATCCCCGTCCAGTTTGGCATTGGAAGGCGATTTTATATCTCTGGCTGGAAGTCCATCAAGCACGGCTCCCCAACCATGGACGTCCTCGTCATCCTCGGAACTTCATGCGCCTTCTTCTTCAGTGTCACGGCCATGCTGGTTTCCATATTCTTTTCCCCTCACTCTCGGCCCAGCACCATCTTTGACACGAGCACCATGTTGATCACTTTCGTCACTCTCGGTCGTTACTTGGAGAACAATGCGAAGGGCAAGACGTCAAAAGCACTGTCGCGTCTCATGTCGCTCGCGCCATCCATGGCCACCATCTACGCCGATCCTATTGCCGCCGAGAAGGCTGCTGAGAGCTGGGACAACGCAGCGCTGGTTGAACCCAAGACACCAAATCGCGATGGTTCGGCGGCCGAGGAGAAGGTCATCCCTACGGAGCTGATCCAGGTGGGCGACATTGTAATTCTTCGACCTGGTGACAAGATTCCAGCCGACGGCGTGCTGGTTCGTGGCGAGACATATGTGGACGAGAGCATGGTGACTGGCGAGGCGATGCCTGTTCAGAAGAAGAAAGGCAGTCACCTGATCGGCGGAACTGTCAATGGTCACGGCCGTGTCGATTTCCGTGTTACGCGTGCCGGCCGTGACACTCAGCTCAGCCAGATTGTCAAGCTCGTACAAGAGGCACAGACAACCCGTGCGCCTATCCAGCGACTGGCCGACACACTCGCCGGCTACTTCGTTCCCATGATCCTTATCCTTGGCTTGATGACATTCCTCGTTTGGATGGTGCTCAGCCATGTGCTCAAGAACCCTCCAAAGGTCTTCACTGAGGAGCATAGCGGCGGCAAGATCATGGTGTGCGTCAAGCTCTGCATTTCTGTCATCGTCTTCGCCTGCCCCTGTGCCCTTGGCCTTGCTACTCCGACAGCTGTCATGGTGGGCACTGGCGTCGGTGCTGAGAATGGAATTCTTGTCAAGGGTGGCGCAGCTCTCGAAACCACCACCAAGGTAACGCAAATTGTGTTTGACAAGACCGGCACAATCACGCACGGCAAGATGAGCGTGGCCAAAGTTCAACTCGATCCCTACTGGCAAGACAACGAGTGGCGCCGACGACTTTGGTGGTCCATTCTTGGTCTTGCCGAGATGGGCAGCGAGCATCCTGTTGGCCGCGCTGTCCTCGGCGCTGCCAAGACCGAGCTTAGTCTCGATGCTGAGGGAACGATTGAAGGTAGTGTCGGCGAGTTTACGGCCGCCGTAGGACGGGGTATCAACGCTTTGGTTGAACCTGCATCGAGCACTGAGCGCCTTCGTTACCGCGTCCTGGTCGGCAATGTTCGCTTCCTGCGCGAGAACAACGTTGACGTACCCGAGGATGCTGTGGAGGCATCGGAGCAGCTCAACAGCAAAGCCAACAAGAACGCGAAGAACACGAATGCCGGCACCACCAATATCTTCATCGCTGTTGACGGCAAGTACAGTGGTCACCTTTGCCTGGCGGACACGATCAAGGACGGCGCTGCCGCTGCGATTGCCGTCCTGCACCGCATGGGCGTCAAGACGGCCATCGTCACTGGCGACCAGCGTTCCACTGCCATGGCTGTGGCTGCCGCCGTGGGCGTTTCGCCTGACGATGTCTACGCCGGTGTGTCCCCTGACCAGAAGCAGGCTATCGTCCGTCAGCTTCAGGAACAAGGCGAGGTTGTCGGCATGGTTGGTGACGGAATCAACGATTCTCCGGCCCTCGCGACCGCCGACGTTGGCATCGCCATGGCGAGCGGCACCGACGTTGCCATGGAAGCCGCTGATGTCGTCCTCATGCGGCCCACCGACCTCATGGACATCCCCTCTGCCCTGCATCTTGCGCGCTCCATCTTTAATCGCATCAAGCTCAATCTCGCCTGGGCCTGTATGTACAACTTAATCGGCCTCCCCTTTGCCATGGGCCTCTTCCTGCCCTTCGGCTTCCACCTCCACCCCATGGCTGCTGGTGCTGCCATGGCGTGCAGCAGCGTCAGTGTCGTCGTGAGCAGCCTGCTTCTCAAGTTCTGGTCGCGTCCTGCCTGGATGAACGACGCCCTCATCGAGAGCCGTGGCGGCCGCGCCAAGGCCTCTGGCTTCAGCCTGGTTGACAGGGTCACTGACCTGTTCAAGAGGCTGCGCACCGGCAGTAAGGAGACGGAAGGTTATGTTCCTCTTGCGGACATGAACGACCGAGACGTCTGAGGGATGCATCCATGTACTAAATCTTGTGGGCGACTTTCTTTGCGTTGGATTCTGGTGTTGGTTACTAGATTAAGACAGTCTAGATTATTTACTGCGATGTATACTTCACTTGAATCTCATCCACTTTGTATGTGCTCTCTTGTATTGCTACACGCACGGCTAGGTCAAGCCAAGTCAAAGGAAGAAAGCATGGTCCGTGGAAGACTAATGAGACTTGCGTCTAGTTGCAACATTCCATAAACCCCCGGGGAAGAAAGTCTTTTCAAAGCCAAACGCAAAACGCCACGCTCAGATCGACGCGGAACCAACCCAAGGAAGAGACAAGTCTAAAACGCCACCAAGCGCAGCAGCCAAGATGGTATCTCAGACGCCCTTGAACGTCTCGCCCACGATCTGGCTGCCGCACAGGTCCGCGTCGCCCAGCAGACGGCTCCACCGCCTCACGTCCTCGACGGTGACGTTTTTGCCCTGCAGCTCCCCGGCTAGTCCGCCGGCGCCGACATCCACCTGGGGCACGTCGAGCAGCATGCGCACGGCGGTCTCGCTGGGCTTTTTGCCGCCTTCGTCGCTGTTCTTGCTCAGCAGGATGAAGCGCAAGCCGACTTCTGTCAGTGTGACGAGGATGCTGATGACGATGAGGATGATGACGATCCAGGTGATGTAGCTCATCTTGGAGTCTGCAACCGAGTCGGAGAGGATCTCGGCTAGGTCGAGGAAGACACGGCACCGTTCGTTGAGGACCTTGATGCGGGGATCGATCTCGAGGTACTCGCGGATGGCGACGTAGAGGGGGTTGAGGGTGGGTTCCGAGTCCCAGAAGAAGTTGGGCACGTCGAGGATGTTGGATGCTGGGCAGGGTTAGCGTGATCGTGGTGTGACAGAGTCCAAAGTGATACATACAAAGGTTGATATCCACGCGACTCTTGAACAGCCGGCCGAGGATCTTGAGGATTTCGGTTCGCGTCATGTTGAGCTCGCCGGTCAGTGCGAGCCTCTTCGGCACGTGTTGTGCGTCGAGCATTGTCTCGCTCATGCGTTCTTCAAAGAGACAAAGCTTGGTGCTTTGCGCAATGGCGTGGCTGATAGAGAGCTTGATCATGTGATCGCTTCGTGGGAGTAAGGTGATCATGTCGTTGAAGATACGCGGGCGTTTTATGTTCTCGCTGTATTCAAAGTGGAATTCCTCCGTCTCAAAATCCTCCTCGTTCAACGGCCGCGTGAGAAGACTCTGGCCAGAGTCGTTCTCGGCAAAGGTCAGGTCGGCGAGAATGTCTTTCTCCTGGTTTTCGGTGAAATTCCAGAAGACAACGACACCATATGAGAAGAGAAACACTTCAGCGAACGCCTTGGCATCTGGAGCGATACGGCTCATGGGTGACAGTGAGCGGTCATCAGGACTCGTTGTATCGTTCGAGTCGCCATTCGGCTGGGACCGTCCACGATGCAGGTCCTCGAAATGCTGTTCTGAATCTCCGTTGGTGGGACTCGTGCCGGTGTAGGCGTCGTCTGGAAAGTATCCTCCCTGGTGGCCCCTCCGCTCGCTTCGCTCCATCTCAAGATCAAGCACAGTTTTGCCGCTGCCAGGCGTTTTGAGCATTGGCCGGCTCCGCACCCGGCAGCCTTCAGAGCCCGGAAGTAGAGGCAGCGCATAGATGGCGTAAAGACAATCGTCGTAGAGCTTCGTTTTGGCACCGTGCTTCTTGCGTAAGAATTCGGCCGTCGATTTCGTCTTGTACGATTGAGCAGTACAGTAGGCAGTCAACCGCGCGAGCTTTTCCTTCCGCTGCACCTTGGGCATTCTCTCGGCATAGCTCTTGCCACGAATTGGGCCCCTCTTGCGCAGCAGCTCTAGTTCTTCGTCCTTCAGTGGCCGGCTCTCTTCTTGCTCGAGTCTTTTCGCCAGTAAAGCAGCATCGTCGTCCTCGTCCTCGTCTGAGCTCTTTCTCTCGTCGATGGTTTCGGGCAACAGGACGAGCTTCTCGCTGATCTTCGTCGTTCGTGACGGCACAATCGATTGGCCGGACCTCGATTGGACAGTTGGTAGACCTCCTCCAGCTCCTGAAGAAGAAGGGATGCGGCGTGCGCCAATGGGACCGCCTGGTCGTTGGACAGGGCCGGGTCGAGGTTGACCAGAGGGTATGTCGGAAGAATATTGGAGGACATTGTCGACAGAGATGAAGCGCATGGGTGGCCGGCCTGCACCACCTGCTCCAGTATCACGGCGCTGTGCTGCAGGACGAGGCGCCGGTCTGTTGCGGGAGTCAGTCACCTGTGGTGAATGCATGGTTAGCAGTGATCAGAGCTGTCCGCAGATTTACTACACCTACCAAGACCGAGGGACCTCGTTTTGAAGGCGCCATGTCGACCTTGTGTCCAGCGGCTCTTGATTGGGATTAGGCCCTCGATTCAATCGCCAGTTCTTCTTCGATCCGATGGAGAGCATTCAGCTAGGAATTTTCGATGTGCGATGGTCCGGCTGAGCTTGACAGTTCAGTTGTCGTCAATTGGTGAACAATCGCAGTTGTTGGACGACGTGATGTGTGGGGCGCTAACCGGGATGCGGTACGTCATATCGAATGTCCATGCATTCATTGTCAATCTTATGTAAGCGGCTGACCTGGCCTCGATATCTGACAATCCCTGGAGATCCCACATGACACTGGCAACGACAGCGAATAAAAGGTTTATTATTTGAATACTCATCTGTCGTTCTTTGACTTCGCCGTTGAAGAGCTTTGAGGTTGTTCTACGCGTTGCGCAATTGATAGACTACGGAACGAGTCAAAAGTGCGTTTCGCATGAAGTGTCTAGGCGAGGAACCTTCTCAGGCGCTTAATTACTGTAGTGATCGAATCTATTGCAGTCATGTATTGCATTACTTCTGGTTTTACTGGGCCTTATATCTACTTGGTGACATCAGTTCTTGTAAAGTTGTTAGCCCTCGTTGATTCTTTACCAGTAGCTCACTGTGACCTCGCAGCTATTGGGTGTGGAACTTCGACCTTTACTCGCAAGAACAACGGCTCATTGGAGTTTCGGTGTGATTTTCAGACTTCTTGTTATATCTCTTACAGGCTTATAAGAGAAAATGTTCTGAATTTCGTAGTGCGGAGCTTGCGCCACATGCGCTATAGTCTCCCGAGCTCTTCTAAGAGGAGATATCGAAAAGCGAGGGTTAGGGTAAGGCAGGGACTGAGGACTCTAGTCATTGTGTTCACACTGCAATTATCTGACATGTGCTGGTCCTCGTCCATGGCGGACTTCTATACGTGCTGTTGCTCTTCTGCAAAACACATGACTGATAGCTATCCTAGCCAAGACAGGTTAAAAAAGCTATACACTGTGGTCAGCATTTCAAAGTCACAAGAGCCTTGTAGATGCAATGTAGCGCCATTTTGTATGCGCATCTGACAACACACTTACGACACTGCTTCTGAAGGAAATCATTTCATGATGTTTTGTGACAGTTCTTTATTTCTGATGAACAACCAGCTTTGACTGCATTATCGATGTCCTTTGGCCAGTACTGGTAAAGATTTCTAACATGAAAACTACACATGCACCTTGTGCCACCTTGTGCCACCTTGTGCTGAACAACTTGACCACGCCAGCGTCCTGGCTGAGGATAGCAACTTACATATACTATGAGCTATGCACGCTGACAACACAACTTCTATGTCTGCATATGCTTAGCAATAGTATGAAACCTTTTCACGTGAATCTTAAGTCAAATTGCTTGCAATGGCGTGTTTTCAGCTTGACCTTAATCGAACCTCGAACGATAGGTCTAGGAATCATCCCTAAGTATTTCACCTCGCGCGGACAATTGCTGCCTCTTCACTTCGATCGGGGCAAACCGAAACTATCACTCCACTGGCGACACCAATCCTCATGGCTAATTAATTATCTTGAAAGATGCTCGCTCGTGAATGCTCTTCAGCCCCAAGTATATATGCTAACACAGAAGAAGCGCGCTGCCCTTTTGGGCTTCAGGGAATCCGTCCACAATACTAGTACAAGAATGCAAATGGCCCTTTCAACCAAGCTGACGAGACGCTCGATGTCGCTGATTCAAAGCGGTTCTTGAAGCACGACAGTGGTCTTGTCTGGCTCGAGGAACTCAAGCAGCGGTCGCCGCTGCACGGCCTTTAATCGAGCCCCAGACCGAGCTCTCCAGAGCAACAATTGCACCAGGTGCATGGCAGGAAATCCTCAAGGTATTTCGCGATCACGATACCTAGCTGGCATCTTCCTCTCCCTGCGAGAACGAGAATCGCTGCGACCGCCACTCAGCCGCGACCCGATGCTATCCTCATCCACATAAGTGTCCCCAGGGAATGGCATCGCTTCATCGTCTGAGTCAGAAGCCACAAACCGACGGCTGCGGCGAGTTCGCAAGACAGGTGTTGGCGTAGCTTGCGCCTCGTCGTGATCATTGTTGTCCATGTCGTTATCATCGATGCAATCATCCGCTTCATCGCGCCCGCGGCGTGGAGTATTAGCCTTCAAAGCAGATTTTGATTTCCTTCCTTTGGCCTGGGAGGGCGAGTCATCGGCTTTTGCGGAATCGCCGTTAGACTTGACATCCTCAGTAGCCTTATTCGGGTGTCGTCCTCGCCGCTTGTGCAACGGAGTAACTTGTTTGTTGAAACTGTCATTTACTAGCCAGCCTGCAGACGTTGACGCCGATTGTCGTTGTCGGGCTCTGCCGCGAGTTGGGGTGTTCATCTCAGTGGTTTCCTCGTCGTCATCCTGAACCGGGCTTTCGAGTCGTCGTCGGCTACGTCGTCGCGTGTCGCCCCGGGTCTGTTTACCCTTCTCAGCTTCTGCCACTTGCGTGTCCGTTTTGTTATCGGATTCCTCATCCACTGTCGTTGGCTCGTAGTCTTCTTCTTCTTCTTCTTCTTCCTCAGAATCTTCAATGAGGTCTCGCTTGCGTTTGCGACCTTCAGTAGGTATTGCCAAATCACTGGCAGCTTGCATGCCCTCTTCTGGCATCTGGGGTGCTTCCTTGCGTGCGCTAAGCCGTCCCCTCTTGACAGGCTTCGGCTCGGACTTGGTAGCCTGTCCGCGTCCTCCACCGCGCCCGCGACCGACCCCCCGGCCTCGCCCTCTTCCTCGGGTACCACCCCGGCCCCGACCTCGTGTTGAACCTCCTTGGACACGGGTCTTCTTAGCTGGCAATGGCTCCACACTCAAGCTTTCAGAGGTCACTGGACCGTCCTCTTCGGCCGTCTTGTCTTTGATCATCTTCTTAGTCAGGTTTGGGAAATTGTTGCCGTAGTTGAAAAACAGCTCCTCGCCAGCCTGGATGTTCCTCGTCGCCGAAAAGCGAATGCGATATTCGCCGTTGACGTACAGGATCTTCGGTTCGACATTGTAGGTATCCTGTTCATGATTGATGTAGCGGCTGTGATTGCCATATATAGCAGCATCGACCCAGATACCTTCCGAGTCCAACAGACTAAAGACGTAAGAAGTAAATGAGCCTTCATCAAAGACTTCACCACGTCGTGCTTCTCTTCGAACGCCCTCGTCGTGCATGATGAGCTCGCCAGTGTACTCGATAACGAATTCATGTTGTGCAATGTCCTCCAGCGTGAACAGACCATACCCGCAGCCATCGAGTTGGCTTTTGCCAGGCGTGACTGCTTTGCAATGGCCACGCTGTAGCGCGCAATTCTGACAGCCAGTCTCCATGATACTCTCGTTGTCGCGATTGTCCGGATGCGCGCGTTCGATCACACCGCACGTACCACAAAGCTGAGGATCGCACTCACGGTTGAGTTGGACGCAGATGCAGTTCCTCTGCTGGCATGTCTTCCCACTCCCCGCACAAGCACACCCAGTAAATTTGTACGCGCAACATTCTGCGGTACATCGGCAGAAGCGCTCGCATAACACATTGAAAATCACACACTTGCAGCCGTTGGCCGCAGTGCAGGGGCCGTCATGATGACAGGGATCGTTGACGTATCGTAACCTGTGGTCGTGGGTATCAGTGTGTTCCTGCCAGTCCCCTAGGAGGACCTTCTTGTGTCGGTCATACCAGGCAAGATTTTTTACTCGTGGCAGTTCAGGTCTCGTATCTTCGGGGAGCTGGATATCGAGCTTTTTCAATTGTCGGTGGACGTCCCAACAAGCGCGGTTGAGAATCTCGGCAGCCATACATTGTGGTTTAGATCGCACTCTGCCACTGCATTCGATCGATGAGAACAAAGACTTTAGCAGCGCTTCATTGGACGCCGACCAGGGTCGCGTTTCTCGTGCAGCCATTGCTTGGCCCAAACTGCTTCCGTCTCCGTGGAGGATGAAACATTCGCGGCTACATGGCTCGATAATGGTCTGATCCGCGTCATTCTTTTCGTGGGCGTCTCGACTCTTCGTCAGGAGCTGTTCCAACTGGCCGTTGCAGTCGAGCGAGAAGTTCCTTTTCTCGTTGTTCTCGCCGTAGTCGCCATGCTCGCAGGAATTGCTGTAGCAAATCAAACACCCCATGATGGCGTATGTCTCTAGAAAGGCCTCTGGTGATTTCGCATCATCCTGTGTAGCGGTTTTCGCAGTCTTCTTTGACTCCACGATGTCGTCAACGCTTTTGTCCAACAAGAGTATATCCCGAAGGCTGACGGCTCTTTCAGGTGCGACACCATCATGGAAAACTTGATTGAATGCCTCGGTAAACATCTTGGCTGACAGGGCGGCTTGTGGCGTGTCTGCTGGTCCGTTGTCTCGGTGGAGGCCGTACAAGCTTGATTTCTGCAGCGGAGTGATAGCCATGTCGGATTGGTTACTGGCCATATGCCGGATCAGAGTCGTTCTCGTACAGTCGGGTATGGCTAGCTTTCCCAACCAGTAGTCAAGGTAAAGTGCCAACATGGCCGTCCGCTCCTTCTTTGCTGTACGTATGACCCTCTGCTCCCGGGTTCCCATGGGCTGGAAACCGCAGCTGGCATCCATACGCTCCAGCTCCTTAAGCCAGAGGTTGTAGTTACGTTCCTCGTTGGCTTCCAAGTCGCGGATGTGGGGGACGAACTTGAGCATAGTGTTTGGTGTCAGGACGTTTCTCGCGATTTCTTTGTGATGAAAACGATACTTCGGGACACGTAGTCTCTCTGTCTTGATGCAAATGGGCATGAAATGGAAAGTGCGTTGTTCCTTCTTAGAGCGTCCGTGATGCTGTATAAACATTAGTTTTCAAGGCTTTAGAGAGCTATGCATCCCAAACGCCAGGTTAATATCTGCTCACCTTGACCTTGATCTTAATCATGTCGTTGTTACCAACTTCGACCGGAACGGGGTCGTGTTTGACGCAACTGAACCAGTCAGTGCCTTTCAGGACGCGTTTCTCCGTTGGCTCGACCGATTTGATAGTAAATGCAACGAGATCTTGGTTGAATCTTTCTAAATCCTGGGTTCGCTCCTCAAGAGCTCGTGCGATCTTGCCAGTAGTCCATCCAACCTCAGTGGGCGTATGCTGTATGGAAGCACCTCCTCCGTTGTGGAACTGACGGTCGAATGAGGGGGTGGTCATTCCGAATGATCCTGGCGTTTGTTTCTCGCCGACCGATAAGCCTTCCCGGTGTGAGCTTGCCGGCATGTGGTGCGAAGAATGGCGTGAAAAGGGAGGTGCCTTGTGTGCCTGGGAGGCTGACGTGGGATTCATTGATTGGGTATGGGATATTGACAAGCTAGCGTTGCTTCCTTCAGGAGAGGGAAATGAGACTGTGTGGACGTGCTGCTGTGCCAGAGTGCTCATGTGAGGGGACGCGCTGCCGTGCCTCTCGTGGTTCATATTCAGGTGAGATGACACAAGGCCTTGCTTGTCGATAAGGAGCATATCCCTCACGTCGGCGCGGCGATGTCCCTTGTCAGAGGCTTGACGGAAATCTGTGAAAGAGTGACTGTATGTGTTTGGTGGGTGCAGTTGCCAACGATCGTTAGACCCATGGCGTCCTTCGTATCTGGGAGTACTCCGACTTTCGTAAGGCTCAGACTCGAGGCGGCTCTCGCTGCGTTCCGGCGCTGAACCGTTGACATGAGAGACATGAGGCGGCGATGAGTCGATGACAATAGCCTGGTGCCCTTTCGCGCCATTGACCTCGTTCCCTGGCGGCATGATCACGCGACGGTGTCTTTGGGGGCCCAGAAAATCTTTCACGGCGAAGACAGGTTCGTCAGACTCGGAGTAACCACCCTCACTAGTAGAATCCATGGTCAAGTCGATAAGCCTGTGGATTTCAGGATTCTTGTGAATATTCGCTCTGGAAGAGCCGAATTCACGGCGCGGCGACCCATTCTTCATTGACATTGCGAATCTGCTTGTGAGGGCCCCTTCATGATGGCTGACGATGACGGCTTGCCAAGAATGTGGCGATGAAAGATCTCTTGCGTGCGAAGCCTGACGCCAGTAAAGGAGATGGATGGCGGCGACGGTGGCGAAGGTTTACGAACAGCCAGCGAGGCGCGTTGAAGATGAGGTTCTGGAGATGTTGCTGAAGGATGACAATCACAGGAGCGCGTCGCTACCACCAAGCCAAGTCAGGCACGTTCGGTGGACCAGAATTTCGAATGTGGATCAATATGGGGGCGCACAGCCAATCAAGTCCGCCTACTTTCCAAGGGTATCGACCTGCCAGCCGGGTGCTGGCCATGTCAGGCACCTTGCCTTGAGTAGGTACCTTACCTTACCTGGTAGGTAGGTAGTACCTGGTAGGTAGGTAGTACCTGGTAGGTAGGTAGGTACCTACCACCTAGGGAGGTCCTCGGCCGCCGATGATTATTCCATGCCTTAAGGGATCTAACAGCACTCATGTCTTATGACATGTTTGGTCTTCCTTGACCGAAAACTTCGTCCAGCCAGGGCTGTGCGAAAACTTTCGTCCTAAGACTAGCGGGTCTGTCTGTGCCTTCTTTCGTCGCGATATGCCTTCGGTTCATCCCTGTACTACAGCATGAGGCTTGAACCCCTGCCGCTTCTTCATGAGTGAGCCGCGAATTTGAGAGTTCAAGGACATATAGGAAGTCCGTCTTCGAGAACACCTTCGTCCGTCTTCGGGCGTCTTAGAAGTGTAGCGTCAATGACTCGTCTTCTTTCGCCTGCCTGCCGTTCATCTGGATTCAGACACCGCATCGAAGTAAGGCGCTGAACTGACAGCTGTGTTGCATCGGACGGGCCATTTGATCGAGAGAGCACTTCTCTTGTCGGCCGTACACCTCTGAGCTTGGTAGGCAAATGGAGGAAAATTTGCACGCTCACTGCCGGATACACCTATTTTCCTAGGCTCAGAGCCGATCCAAACCCTTGAATCGTGTCTATATCTGGCTTCAAAAAGGCACATGCTTCGAAGCGCCGTGTTCCTCGTGTGCATCGCTGGGCTTGCTCTGGTGAATTGCGCGGCCAAGGCTCCGTGATTGTCTCTCTATCTGGTGGCAGTCTCGTGGTTGTAGCTTCGCTCCCAGCTCCATTGGCCACCACGTCAAACTCGTAATGGTGAGATCAAGTTAAGAGAACGATTTCAATTACACACCATGCCACTTCAGGCTACCCAATGGCCATGGCAAATTACACGGCCTCTTAGTCCACGGCGCAGGCCGGCATCTCTCTAGCGCCGAGCGCTAGTTAATCCCCCGTGGATCAGGCATGTGTCGATGACGTCCTTGTGCGGGTGCCCTGGCACTGTCTTCGATCCCCTCTTGAGCTGTTTATCGCGTCGATTCTGAGACTGTCCACTGTTGACGATCCCTCAACGGCCGGGCGGACAACCACGCTCACTGTGATAACCCCAGACGATTCTCCACGTTGCAAGCCCCTGTCCGAGTCAACCGCCGCAACGCAGTGGTAACAAGTCATCATATCTGGGACTGTCAAGGATGCGCTCCATTTGCTCAGAGACATGATCACGCCTGGGCGTGGCCCTCGTCTTAAGGAGCTCTCAGGCTCGGATACTCGGACCGCATCAACGGGTTTACTCCAGTGCCAAACGAAACGCAGTCAGGACATCAGCTGCTTAGAGTAGGGCACCAAAGATTTTACACTGCCTCAGCTGGAATCAAAGACCGATTAATCAAGCAATTCTGGGCTTTTCCTTTTTCCAGCGATACCGAGTGTTCCCACAGAAAGCTTCTTTGACGCCCCAGGTGAATGATATGGGAAACACGCTCTTGTTAGACACGCACACCCATCACCCATCACTCTGTCTGTTCGCTGCACTCTCAGGGTTTGGCCATTCCGCCGAGGTTGTAGGTTGTGGGTCGTGGGTTCGTGACGCTTGGCCACGGTTCTGTAGCGTGCCCGACCGAGTTCAGAAAGCTTTGCCGGTATTGGGAAACAAGTTGTTGGACAAGAGGGCGAAGGATTTTGAGACGTGGTTGGCAATGCGGCGCGATATCTACCAGCGGATTTTATCAGAATGATGAATGGAAAGGGTGCCTCGCCTCGGTCAGTAAACCAACGAGGCCTGCGAGGGTAGTACGGAAGGCTTTCCCATTCTCTGCTAAGGAAGGCTTGTCTTTGCAATCTCCGCTTCGGCTCGTCTGCTTCCCATGGTCTGGGCTGCAGATCCTCCAATGTGTGAACCCTTCATCGACCGGCAGCCAGCAGATGCGCAAAGGGTTGGAACATGCCATGCTAACATCAGACGAGGCCAACTTCCTGCTTTGGCGATGGCGGCAGCTCATGCATCAGCAGGATGAGGAGGCAGTTTGGCCCAGCAACGGGGGGGGTCAGATTTCGTCCCAATGTGGCACTGCCCCTGTCCCTCAGGTGCTAGAAACACGCCAGCGCCTTGAAATCGCATGCGATCATCATTCTCTGGGCAGCCGCATTGGGCGGCTGGTCTCAGAGAATGGAAATGACCCAGCTTTGGCTCGAACCTGATCCCAGTTGTTGATCACAGCGGTGGCTCCGGGGACCGGGTGCGGGTGGGCGCGGTAGCAAGGGATACATCTGTCTCAGGCTTTGGGCAAGTCACTCGAGGCGCAAACTGCACAAGGTTTTCGCCCCAGGGCGTCTTAAACTGTACTCAGAGGAGGGGCCAAGGGCGTGTACACGGCAACGCAGACGCAGGCACCAGCCGGGGAGCCACAACACACTAAAACGACGAATGACGTCGTCAATGAGGTCGACTCCGCCGTCGCAATCCCAACCAGACCCCTACGTACAGCGGGCAACCCTCCCCCCCTCCCCCCCCAAAGCCAAGCTGTCTGGGGTCACTCGCATATAAACGATCGCATCACCCCCGGACATACCTTAACATTGACCAACTTCAACCCTTTCCCACCCCGCCTGCACTGAATTATTCCTACAAGCCTCTTCTTGCGCTTTGAAGCCTGACGCCCTCCAACAGTAATTGATATCAGCACGAACACACCGCCAAGATGCATCGCACCTACTCCATGCGCCAGACGCGGGCGCCTACCGCCTCTCAGCTTCAGGTTTGTACCCACCGATGCTGCCGAGAGTGAAGACATCATCAGCTCACCACGCTTTTGCAGAATCCTCCTCCTCCCACGTCCTCCACCAAGTCTGGTCGCCTATTCGGTCGCGGCGGTTTTGGTAAGTTCATCGCGCAGTGTCGCCCGAAGTGCTTTACCATTTCCTGCTTTACCATTTCCTGCAACCTTTCCGGAAGCGGCTTGCTCGGGGATGCACAACGCTAACCCTGGTCCTGTAGGCCATGCCATCCGCCACAAGTCTGCCGGTGCCTTCGGCCCCGACCTGGCCAAGAAGCTGTCTCAGCTCGTGAAGATGGAAAAGAACGTCATGCGCAGTCTCGAGACCGTGGCCAAGGAGCGTATGGAGGTTGCTGTATGTCGTCACTTGCGCGTCACCCTATCCACGGTTTGCTGACCTAGACCTTCTGTAGCAACAACTCTCCATTTGGGGTGAGGCTGGCGACGAAGATGTTTCCGACGTCACAGACAAGTTGGGAGTTTTGCTGTACGAGATCGGCGAGCTTGAGGACCAATACGTCGACCGCTATGACCAATACCGCGTTACCATCAAGAGCATCCGTAACATCGAGGCCTCCGTGCAGCCCAGCCGAGACCGTATGTATTCGATGCCATGTATGACCTATGCACCGCCCCGCTGACTGTTCCTCAGGCAAGCAAAAGATTACGGACCAGATTGCACAGCTGAAGTACAAGGAGCCCAACTCGCCGAAGATCGTCGTCCTCGAGCAGGAGCTTGTTCGTGCTGAGGCCGAGTCGCTCGTCGCAGAGGCTCAGCTGTCCAACATCACTCGTGAGAAGATCAAGGCCGCCTACACTTACCAGTTCGATGCCTTGCGCGAGCACTGCGAGAAGGTTGCCATTATTGCTGGGTACGGCAAGCACCTTCTCGAGCTGATCGACGATACCCCCGTCACCCCCGGCGAGACCCGCCAGGCCTATGACGGATACGAAGCCAGCAAGGCCATCATCCAGGACTGCGAGGACTCCCTCACCAGCTGGGTGACCTCGAACGCTGCTGTCTCCTCCAAGCTGTCTACCCGCTCCCGCACCCTGTCGACTCGCCGCCGCAATAACATCAAGGCGCGTGAGCACGACTTGTCGGGACAGGATGCTCCTCTCAACGATGATTCGTCATGGATGCCCGCGACTCGCAACAAGGAGATTGACGACTACTCCGACGAGGATGAGCTCGATGAGGATGACCACCGTAACTCTGTACTCGAGAGCGACACTGGTCTTAACGGCGAAACCCGCGGTCGCCAACAGGAGGCAGTTGCGGCATGAAAGAGGATGCCAAGCTAATAAAAACGTCACGATGCCTAATTTCATTGTGGCTACACTGCGATGCGGGAATGTGGTGGTAATGAGGAGCCATTTCGGTCAGGAACATGCTTGGGCATTGATTTCTTTGGTGTTTGGTCGACGGGATTGGCTGCACCCACTCCGGGTCACTTGTATGGTAGTTTTCAGGTTTATGAATTTTCATTATGCAAAAATATTCTGGTACCACCTGCTCGTGTCGTCGTTTGATTCTAAGCGTGATTCCGTTTCACCAAGCGCGCTCCAAGGGTTCAAATCGCCCCAAACTCCTACGTCTACTGCCACATCATGCCACCGCAGCTTCGGCATAAGGATTGCTGTGCTTCAATTGGCTCGCAAACTCCTCGACTTCAATCTTGACGATGTGTTCTCCAGGGACCACAACAAGCCCCAAGTAGCGCGAGGTCATATCCATCTTCACGCTCTCCGCGTTCGCGCCCGCCGCTCGCGCTGCATCCCCTTGTTGCTGGACTGTCGGCTGCCGGTATTCGTAGGTATGAGCAAGGACTACATTCTGGTCCTGCAGAGAAACGCCGTCAGCTCGAGTTGAAAGCATGGAGTATCGGCCAGTGGACAAACCGGATCGGTGCACTTGAATTGGCCAAGGAACATGCGCCCGTCAGTTGCGACGACTCGAAGGTTCTTGTTGAGGAGCGAGGAGAGGAAGTCCCTCGCTGCCTCCTTGTCCATCTCCATGACGGGACCCTGGCGATGGCGCAAAGGTGTTTCAAGGGGAGCGAATGTTAGCTGGGAAGACTGATTTCCAGCATGGAGACGTTTGCCCCGGCTTGGGAGGCTGAGGCTCTGCTCGGTGCAGAGTGCCAAGATCTTCAGTGCATACAGTTCGCTGTAACGATACCTAGCAACCAAGAGCTCAGAGTTCCCAGTGGAGGGGGTGGGCAAGGTGGGGTAGGAGAAGAGGCGGAGTGTGGGGCCACTGATTAGATACTGGCAGGCATCAGCGTCATCATTAATTACAAGGTCCGCCAGGTCGAGACACCAAACGCATCTTGACTTCACGCATGTCCTTTTTGTAACCTTCACAGCAACTCCTAGCATCGCTTTGCCCATCCGTCACGGCCGCAATCGGCTCGAGGGCACATATCATAATGCTTCATCAATCATTCATCTGAGGGGAATCTTCTTCCGTCACTTCACGCACCTAGGAAGCCCACACCCTGTGAATCCCTCCCTCACCAGGGACCGACGCCGTCATGGGTGTGAATGGCCTCTGGACGGTCCTCCAGCCCTGTGCGCGCCCGACCAATCTTGCCACTCTCAATCGAAAGCGTCTCGCTGTCGACGCCTCCATTTGGATATACCAATTTCTCAAGGCCGTGCGCGATAAGGAGGGCAACGCTCTGCGCAATTCACACGTCGTAGGCTTCTTCCGCCGCATCTGTAAGCTCCTCTGGTTCGGTATACGGCCCGTCTTCGTCTTCGACGGTGGCGCTCCCGCCCTCAAGCGCCAGACGATTCAAGGGCGCAAACGCCGTCGCGAGGGACGCCGCGATGATGCTGTCCGCACGGCGGGCAAGCTGCTCGCCGTGCAGATGCAGCGAATCGCCGAGGAACAGGACGAGAAGCGCAAGAGAGAGTCGGAGAGGGGCGTTGACGAGCGAGCTAGGCAGGCCGAGATGGCCGAGGAGGAGGCTGTGCCGAATGCGGATCAGCTCGTCTACGTGGGTGAGGTTGGCATGTCGCAGCAGGAGCGACAGCAAACGCGGACGTTTCGCAAGCAGGACCAATACCATCTCCCTAAGATGGATGGGAACATCTCTTCCATGGCAAGGGCGGATGATCCCAGGATCATGAGTGTGGAGGAGCTGGAAGAATACGCGAGACAATTCAACAATGGCGAGGACCTCAATCTTTACGACTTCAGCAAGATCGACTTTAACGGCGAATTCTTCAAGAGCTTGCCGCCGCCGGATCGATACAACATTCTCAACGCCGCCCGTCTGAGAAGTCGGCTGCGAATGGGCCTGAGCAAGGAACAACTCGAGGAGATGTTCCCCAATCGGATGGATTTCTCCCGCTTTCAGATTGAGAGGGTCAAGGAGAGGAATAACTTGACGCAGTTGCTGATGAAGGAAGTCGGCATGACCGGCCTTGATCTGACTATCAATGGAGGCGGTCGTATCGCGGGTGAGAGAGACCGCGAGTACATTCTCGTGAAGAACGATGGAGTCGAAGGCGGTTGGGCGCTTGGTGTCGTCAGCAAAGAGAAGGACATTGGCGAAGCTCACAAACCAATCGATATTGATGCTTTGGAGTTCAAGTACCAGCAAAAAGACGAAGAACCGGACATGGAAGAGGAGGAGGAGTTTGAAGACGTTCCTGTGCAGGGTCTTAACAGACTGCCAAAATTAACTCGTGGAACTGAGGGTCAAACCATGGATGAGGAAGATTCTCTCTTCGTTGGTGGTGACCAGGCACTGAAGCCGTCAACGAAACCCCAGGAGCAACAATCGGAGGATCTTCACCCCGAAGAAGAGGACGACCTTAACCAGGCGATCGCTTTGTCGCTCCGGAGCCAACATGTCGCGAACTCTGACACCCACGAAGTCGAGGACGTTTTCGAGGACGTGGAGCTGGCGGTTCCCCAGTGGGAACAGAAGGCAGTCCCCCAGAACAAGCCGATCGCCAGCTCGAGCGGCCGCATGGTTGCCCACATCGTCAACAACAGAGCCAGTGCTGCCGTGCCTAAACGTCGGCAAAGCAACGCCAGCAGTAGCGACAGCGATAATGATCTACAAGCTGCCCTAGCAGCTTCGCGCAAGAACAGGAAGACTCAGCCAAAGCCGGTGCCTGGCAACATCAAGAACCCATTTGGCGGACCTTTGCCATTTCCAAAGCTTGATATTAGCTCCATCTTTCCCGGCAGATCACGTCCTAGCAACCCAACAACTTCAGAACGACCTTCGAGTCGACATTCGGGCGGTGCTGAACCCCTGATGGGTTTTCTAGACGACATGGCTGGTGGTTTCGAGCCAGAGCCTGATCCAAACGCACCTAAGCCACTGCCCCCGTGGATGACGGACAACACCGACATTCGTGACACTATGTTGAAGGCCAAAGAAGTCGAGCAAGAAATCAATGCAGAGGACAGGGAGGCCGCAGCGGAAGAAGAGATGATGTTCCAGCGCAAGCGCCAAAACGAGACGATCGAGATTGCTTCTTCTGACGATGGGAGCGACGTAGAGGTCCTGGAGGTTGCTCCCGCACCTAAGAAAATGGCCTCCCCAGTAGAGATACCTTCTACACAAAGTTCATTGGCGCGAGAAAGCTCCGAGAAGGCCGAAGTCAATGAGACTCAAACCGCACCTGAAGAGAACTCGAGCGTAGCTCCTTTGGCTGACGAAGCCAATGAACCAGTTCCTGCGATCACTCTTGGTGGAGTCGCTAGTTCGAGCAAGTCATCTGTTTCGCCTGAACCTGAATTCGAGGACATTGAAATCCCGGAGCAGGAAGATGAACATGATATTACCATCAGGGAGCTCTCAAACACTCCCGAGACTGTTGTGCCCGTCGCAGACAACTCAACGGCTGACAAAGAACCTGAAACAGCGGGTGTTGCCCATCAGGCAGATTTCTCAGAAGCACTTGCGCAGACCGCACAGCCTGCGACTGAGAATGCCGAAGACGAGTACAATCCCTTCGGAGATAGCGATGTCGATGAATACAGCGACCCTGAGGACGAAGAGCTCTTCGCTAGTCTCGCCCAAGAGGCAGATGAGCACGCTCGGTTCGCCAGCGAACTCAACCACAAATCAGAGCAAGAAAACCGCGAGGCTTACGAGAGGGAGCTGAAGGCGCTACGGACGCAGCAGAAGAAAGATCGCCGTGACGCCGACGAAGTGACGCAAGTCATGGTGGGCGAATGCCAGGCCCTGCTCCGGCTCTTCGGCATCCCCTACATCACGGCGCCAATGGAAGCTGAAGCTCAGTGTGCCGAGCTTGTACGCCTTGGGCTGGTGGACGGTATCGTGACAGATGATTCCGACACATTCCTTTTTGGAGGCACGCGCGTTTACAAGAACATGTTCAACAGCAACAAACTTGTTGAGTGCTACCTATCGTCGGATCTTGACAAGGAACTTTCGCTGTCACGCGAGCAACTAGTGTCAATTGCCCTGCTTCTTGGGTCTGATTACACGGATGGCTTGCCAGGCGTGGGCCCTGTCACGGCAGTTGAGATTCTCTCCGAGTTTCCAGAGTCGGAGGGCGGCCTGGCTGCATTTTGCGATTGGTGGGCGGATGTGCAGTGACAGCGCCGGCCAAAAGAAGTCGATGCGCCGAATGCATTCCGGCGCAAGTTCCGCAAGAGCCAGGCGACCAAGCTATTCTTGCCTGTGGGATTCCCCAACCCAGCGGTGAGGGAAGCCTACATGAAGCCTGAAGTAGATGACAGCCCCGAAACATTCCAGTGGGGTGTACCAAACTTGGAAGGTCTGCGGCAGTACCTCATGGCCACAATCGGCTGGAGCGAAGAGCGTACGGACGAGGTGCTGGTGCCTGTCATACGTGACATGAACCGGAGGGACGTGGAGGGCACTCAGAGCAACATCACACGCTATTTTGAAGGCAGCATCGGGACTGGCGCCAAAGAGTCGTTCGCGCCACGACAAAAACAAAAGCCAAGTAAGCGCATGGCCGAAGCGGTCAACAAACTGAGGAACACTGGCGCAGGTGTCTCGGAATCATCACCAACTACGGATGCCTCGATGACATCAAGTGGGAGCAAACGGAAGCGAACGGCTCGGGCAGCGGCACGGACCTCGTTGGTAGACGAGGAACAGGAGGAGTCAGGCGAGGATGATGACGAGGCGGAGGCCGCGGTGCCGCGGACGAGGGGTCGCGGCAAGAGGACGAAGGCGGATCGCTGATTGTACGAGAGCTGTGAAATGGTAGACGACTTTAGATAGTTTAAAAGCTGCCCACGAATCATGACAACATTCCAGCCCTCCAGGCTAATGGCGGCGCCTTGTGTCTTACAGGTCTGTCTGTTCTCTGACAGCGACTCGTCATCCCAATTTCCACGTCTTCTTGTGCATAGCACAAACACGTGGCGACGAACAGTCACAGGGGCGTTGAAGAGGGGCTACTGCGGCACTTGGGATCCGGGGCGACATCTGCTTGGGTTTCACATACAACCATTGAGGGTTTATCGGACGATACCCCCTTCGGTACCCCCTTTGGAGTCGGCATCCTCGACAGCAGATCGGCGGGTACCAAACGACGTAACCAGAGGTGGAGGCGGCGTTGCCAATTGGCAACGAGGGGCCCCGACGGCCAACATTTCGGCTCGTCGAGCAACAGCGTTACTGTAGGATTGTGACCCACGAGCACGAGCCCGAGGAAGCGCTGTGCGCCACAAGCTTTCTTCACGTCGTGTTCAGGTGATTGACAGTGAGCGGGGGAAGCCACCCGTTGGCGGTGGAATGTGGGATGAGGGTACCTCAGACCTTGGACAGCGAGATAGGATGAACCCCAGCAACAGCACGTGCGCCTGTGCCGGGAATTCCACGAGAGCGAGCATGCCAGTTGGTTTGGTGCGCCGTGAAGAAAGGGGGCCGATCTGGTGGCTGGCTGGGTGACGATCGAGCTGCACATCAAGTGGGCTGGACTCCCGGCACGACGAGCTGTCCTGGGAAGGCGGTTACCCGGAAAGCAGAGATCCTGACTATCCCTTCCGTCTGTGGCGGTTCACCTGAAGTGCAGCCAAGATCTACGCAGATGCCCAGACGGGGGAACCAGAGCAGCCAACGTTCTGGCGCCGTCGATCACACCTATATGGTACATATACACATTGAACCCCCCCAGCCCTTGGGGTAGCCTCAGGATTAGACCTTTGAAAACAGCACGATGCTTGGCAACAAACAGATTGGATCACGGCGATTGCCAGCACCTCAATTTGGCTTGAGATGAGAGCCCAGCCAGCCCAAGACGCCTAGCAGCAGCGGCTGGCACTGGTTGGACGACCCCCTTTCGGGCGAGTCGAAACTCAAGCACTTGGCTCCCCTTGGCGCCGACTGGGCCGGCGAATGATCTCACTGAAGCCCTTAGGGATGCAGCCACCGGCGGACTGATGTGAGATTGCGGACGCCCCTGCCGAGATGCCAGCTGCAAGGTACCCATTTGTTTCTTGAAGGGCCCGATGAGCAT